CGGCCCCGGCCCCGGCCCTGGCGCCAGGGCGCCTCCATTTCCCCCCCGCCAGTGAGCGAAAGACGGCGGAGGGAGGGAGGCCGGCCGGCCACCCCTCCCTCACACCCCCGGCTGAAGCGGCCCCGAAACGAGTGAGCTCTCTCTCTCTGTCTCTCTCCCGCCCAGCCCGGCCAGGCCCGGCCCCTCCGTCCGGAGGTGGCAGGGACGCCGGGGAGCTCCCGCGGCGGTGCGACTACAACTCCCAGCGCTCCCCGCGCGGGCAGACCGGAAGTGGCCCGAACGCCGCGCCCTCCCTCTGTGGAGAAGACCCGGGGGCGCGGGGTGGGGTGGACTGGCCCTTCATGGTCAGAAGCATGTTTGATAATACCCAGCTCGGCGTCGTTTTATTACTTAATGCTTTAATTTCTTTTCGCCTGCCGCTCTGGCTGCAGAAGCGATGGCTGCAGCTGTATTTCTGGCAGCCGCCTCTGCGCCCTGCGGCTGTTGGGCGCGTTTTTCCTCACAGCTTCTCTGCCTCAGAGGAGGGGCGATTTTAAAAGCGCGTTTAGAAACTTTCCTGAAGTAACATCCAGGTTGTACTGCGCAGAGGTACATATTGAGGAGCCTGTGTGCCTCGTGAAAACGTTCGAATAGATAAATGCAACTTTAAATAATTCAAATTTGATTGACGTTTTCTGATAGCACTTAATGTTCATGCTGTGCCCACAGGAAACTGCATTTAGGTGGTTTTTTTCAGCAAATACGCGATTATAAAAGTTAAATTGTACAAGAACCAAATAATGAGTCAAAGTAGCAAACTGCTGGAGGTCATTCTGGTTTTCTGCTTTGTTTTGAAGTGTTTTAAACAAAGTCATTTTCTCAAGAAAGAGGCAGCTAGTGACTGCAACTTCTGCCGTAGACTGAGGGATCAATAAAAGAAAAAAATGAACAACAGATCTCTGCCTTTATTAATTAAACCTCATATCACACGTTTCTCTAATACAAAGTCTTAAAACTCTTCAACAAAGGAGAAAAATGGCTCCTAAGTGCCTAGTGAAATATGAGGCAGCGCTGCAGGATGCTGCTGCCATACAGATTATATGCAAATTATACTCAAGACCTAAATTGGAAGAATGCTGACTGCAAAGTCCAACATTCACAATACAGTTAAGTGCCAGAGTAACGCTTGTTCTTGTGTGCACTGACAGAGTCTTTAATGAAACGAAGGTGTCCACTTTTCCCCTCACCAGCACATTATGCCATTCATCATTCAAAGCACAGGATGGACAGAAAATGGACAGCTGTTTCATATTTACATTTATCTTTGTTGTTCTGTATATATCCTATGCATTAATTACTTCATAACATTTAATCCTTGCAGTGAAACCAGGAGTTATTTATAGATCTCTGGCATTCTGGAAACCTATCAACATTACAAAAAAATAAAGCAACCAGAAATGAATGCACTTTACAAAAGATCTGATTTATAATATCTCCATCTTATTAAGGAGAAGAATGAAAGCATAGAGATATTATCAAGTGACAGTTATATTTACATATGTATTTTTAAGGAGTGGCAGTCCAATTGCCCAGGATAATCAAATTGCCCTGAATACAGAATTATACATTCTCTCCTTGCAGTCCCTTTCTTCACTCCCTTTCATCAGACTTTTTCAAAGTTAAGTAGCTATCATCAAAGTCTATTGAAAATACGAAAACACCCAGCTGAGACCACAACTAATAAAACCAATTTTTACCCATGGAAAAAGACATAAATTGGGGAAAAAATCCAAGGAGATAATGCTTCCTAAAGCAGCTGAAAATATATATGATGTAAGAAACAGTAGATTTTACTATCTTAGTCGTAGCTATGAACAGAAGAAAGAAATACCCTATCATTGAAAAAAATAGCCTATTTAGTCGTATTCTTTCCCCAACAGCAGCTAAAGAAGATGCTGTAGGAAGAGTTTTGCCTCTTTCTGTCTTGTCTGCTCCTTGCACTCTGCCAGCATGAAAATTTTAAGCACAGATCTTAAAAGCTTGATATTCCTTGTTCAGCAGCCATATGATTAAGTGGAGCAGAAGAGGCTTCAATGTTATGTATTTGCTATTATTGTGGAAAGAACAGCTACATTTTGAGCCATCCATGTTTTTCATACTGATGCTTGCAAAAAGTTGCATTTTCTCCCCTCTCTATTCCAGCCTTTGTATGTAATATCCCGAGAAAAGGACCTTTTGAAACCACCCACTTACATTTCAAGAAATCAGCCAAGGTGGAACCAATGAAGTAATAATATTTCTCAAATCTTACAGCCTTCTGTACTCACATCTGCATTGTAGATATACCTATTTTTTTATAATAATAATTAATCTTATGTTAATCAACAGATATTAAAATGTGTTTGTTTATACACAAATTTAATACCGTGCTTCATGCCTATATTGACTTTAGATAACATAATTGTTACCAAACCCTTCCTTCTTGCTCTAAGTTGACACAAAGAAATTGTTTTGAAACTTCCAATATTTGCCAGTGTATGACTGTACAGAGATTGAATGCGTTTGCAGCAGAGCAGTGTACATAATGCATTAGCAGACAATACCACCTCTTTGTGCAAGAGCAAGGTGTTATCTTCCATCTTCATTCTTGATTCTTCTTTTTCTTTGCAAAAACCTGCCAAATATACGCTGCTTGTAGGAAATTAGTGACATTACCTCAACAAATAATTTTTTGTAATTAATAGTCAGGTCCTATAAAGATTAGAAATGGATGTAGTCAGCCCCATGCAGCATTTGACCCTAAGTCTTATTGGCAACCTCTAGTGTTTTTATTCCGCTTTTGACACTCCGGGTTTATCTGTGGATGGGTCTCCTTCTTCTAAGTCTGCAAATTCTTGCTCTATAACGGGCTTCAATATTTTCTCGATCTGTGTAAGTCTTTTTTTCAGTTTCTGTTGTGCAGCATCATACTCAGCCAACAACCTGGCAAACTTGGTTTGTAATCTGTCCATCGACGCTTCCATGTAGGTGACCTTCTCTTCCAGATCTTTAGGATCACTTCCTAAATTCGCAACTTCAATGTCCAGCAACCCGTCTTTCATTAGGATTTGCTTGCCTTTTTCTTCCAGCATAGCCTTTGCATCCGGATACTCTGTTAAAGCCTCCATGAGATCATCTTTAGACAGACAAAACAAGTCCGAGTATCCGATACTTTTAATATTGGCTGTTCTTCGATTGCCAGCTTTGCTACCTTTGATATTAAGAATGCTGATCTCTCCGAAGTAGCTGCCATCACTCAAGACCACAAATTGAGTAATTCCATCATCAGCGACCACTGCCAGCTTCCCTTCTTTGATAATGTACATCTCTCGTCCAATATCTCCCTTTCTGCAGATGTAATCTCCAGGACTGTATACTTGCGGCTGGAGTTTCAGAACCAGTTCAACCAACAGACCAGCTTCGCAGTCTGCAAAGATACGAACCTTTTTTAGTGTTTCCAGGTGAACATTGATTGCAATCTCTGCTCTTAGTTTATCTGGCAGATACTTCAAGACTTCCCTTTCATCCACAGCCTTTTTGTTTGTCCACAAGTAGTCGAACCACTTTATAACTCTTTTCTCCATGTCTTTACTCACATTCCGAAAGTGCATATACTGCTTGATGGCGTCGATCCTTGCTTGAAACTCGGCCCTGGCAGCGTTCATGTTGGAGATCATCGAGCCCACGTTACCAACGATGGTAGCAAAAATCAATACACCAACCAAGAAGTCAACCACCACGAAGAAATACTCGGAATCTCTTACAGGAGGGGGTGTCTCACCGATAGTAGTCAGGGTCAACGTTGACCAGTAGAGACTGTAGACATACTTTCTAATCAGACGGGCAAATTCAGGATCAGAGGTGTTGGGGTAGACCCATGTGTCAGCCCCAAATCCAATGGCTTTCGAGATCGAGTAGTACACACAGGCATTCCAGTGAATAATAATCACAATGTACATGACAAGGTTAGAGATCCTGAAGATGTTTGGGTAGTTTGTCCTTGTTTCTGTTCGCTGGAAGAATTCGAACATCCGAGCTACTCTGAGTAGTCTGTTTATTCTTAATTCTGGGTAATTCAGTCCTAACTTAAAGTATAAGAGATCTGTTGGTATGATTGACAGAAAATCTAATTTGAATTGAAAGGACGATTTATATTTCTCTCGAAGCTTTTCTTCTTCTTTCACCAGAAGACCTTGCTCCAGGTAGCCTATAATTAAATTGTAAATAATAAAAAAATGTTATATCTTCAACTGTGTTGTGTTTAATGTCAATCCAAATCTACTTTGAAAAATATTTTGGGCGCACGTTCCAGATGGTACATAACTTCTCTTACTTTTCGAGAAGCAATTTCACATTTCCAAAAATTCAACCTAGTGCTATATGGTTCAGCTTGAGCTAAACTATACAGCTTTGAAAATTAAACATTTCTAGCTCTGATTCTTTCCCTCCACTTTTTCCACATCTGAAAAAAAAACAAAATGTCACCAAAACTCCACAGGCTGTAGGAAGGGTGGTAAATGTGAGGGAAAGAATTTGAGCATGGGAATTGCAGTTCCATATTGAGTGTGTCTACTCAATAGTTCTGGATGGAGGGTAAGATTTTAAAAGAAACAGATGCAGCTGCAGTTAATTGAGTATCTTTCTTGTGCAATGGTCTTGAAAATCAAGCAAATACTTGA